CGAGATAATGCATCCAGCCCGCCCCGTTATCTCTGCCAGACATCAAAGCCTTCCTACTGCAAGCAGCCGCGCCGTATCCCAGCTCCATGCAAATTCCACACCCATTAACAGGTATCTTTTCGTCCCGTCAGTAATGGTGTTGATTGCCACCAATCCAAGGATGTGGAAAAGGGCAACTTTCACACCCCTGTCAGACCCAAGATGGTATCGTGCAGCCCTGCCTTGGTGTGGTTCCTCCTGGATGCAGAAAATTCCACGAAATGGGATTTACAGAAATGTTCCTCTTCTCTGACAGTATTTGTATTAGCATAGATCACGGAATCATGGAATGGGTCGGGCTGGAAGGGACCTCAAAGATCATCCAGTTCCAACCCCCCTGCCATGGGCAGGGACACCTTCCACTACACCAGGTTGACCAAAGCCCCATCCAACCTGGCCTTGAACACTTCCAGGGATGGGGCAGCCACAGCTTCTCTGGGCAACCTGTGCCAGTGCCTCACCACCCTCAGAGGGAAGAATTTCTTCCTCAGATCTCATCGAAATCTCCCCTCTTTCAGTTCAAAGCCATCGCCCCGTGTCCTGTCACTACACGCCCTTGTCCAAAGCCCCTCTCCAGGTTTCTTGTAGCCCCTTTAGGTACTGGAAGGTGCTGGAAGGTCTCCCTGGAGCCTCCTCTTCTCCAGGCTGAACAGCCCCAACTCTCTCAGCCTGTCTCCAGAGCAGAGGTGCTCCAGCCCTCCCATCATCTCCGTGGCCTCCTCTGGACCTGCTCCAGCAGCTCCGTGTCCTTCTGATGTTGGGGACCCCAGAGCTGAACACAGTATTCCAGGGGGGGTCTCAGGAGAGCAGAGCAGAGGGGCAGAATCCCCTCCCTCGCCCTGCTGCCCACGCTGCTTTGGGTGCAGCTCAGAACACGGGTGGCTTTCTGGGCTGGTAGAAAGAAGACAACGACCAGAGTCGAGTCTGACGTCAGGGGAGCATCGGGCAGTACCAGCACACTCGTGCATTCCCAAATGCTTTATGCACCCTCACGTCCTAGCGAGAGACTCCCCAGCTTCTCTCCTGAGAGGATTCTCCAGATTAATACACCCAATTTTCAGCACACGCTGTTCCATCATGTCCTATTGCTTCAGAAGAGAGAGCTGTAGACCTGCCTAAGTGAGATGAAATGTCACTTTCACATAATTAAGTGGAGACAAAGGAGCTGCAGAGAAATGAGGATGTTGAAGCGGAATCAAATCCTGAAAGGCAAAATCCTGTCTTGTGACAGTCCCTGCCAAGGGCGCTGGGAAAAGGAGCACAGGAACAAACTGGGCAAGGCTGTGTTTCCACTTGAACACCCCCACTCCTAAAGCGGCCTCGTTTGTTTCATCCAGCACAACCCACTGAGCATCGGAAACACCCGCCACTCCGACTCGATTCGGTCCACGGAACTGCCACGCCCAACGCCGTAAACATGAAGGGTGGGATGCACAGATCCTTCAAAACCCCATCTCCCCAGCAGTTCTGTGCCACAGCCCTGCTCACTCAGAAGGTCTTCATCGACTTCCTCATCCTCGGTGAACGGCGACGTCTCCGCTCGCGACCTGAGCCTTCGCTCCTGCGCTCGAAGTGACTTCACGAGGAAGGCATGCCAGATGTCGGTGACCTACCAGGAAGCAGATGAATTATTTCACTCCCAGGAATACGTGGTATTTAGCAACTAGTTGTTCTGCAAACAATGCGTCCGGCAACGCACGGCGCTGCCACAATAACCGGAGCGCCTGCTGGTGAGTCAGCTGGCTGCTGCCAGCCTGCATGGCTCCCCCCGCCCGCCTCCCAGGGGCAGCCGTAGCCGGGAGCTCGCTTCTCCATCTGATTCCGCATTTCCATCAAACTTCAGGGAATCTAACTAAATTGTTCACCAAAACCAAATTCGGTCGAAGTTTGCGAGGGAAGCGGAGGCAGAGGGCACAGCTGCCAAAGCCTCGTTTCCACGGAAAATCAAGGTAAACAAATGGAAGCTCAGGTTTTTTTCAGTTATTAGGGCCACGGGATAATTGTTGCTTCCCTTGCTGGACCAGTCTGTTCCGACCATCTTTTATCAGTGTGACTTTTCATCGATTCGCAGCGTAAATTCTACACGTCCCGTCCTGTATCCCGTTGCTGCTCAGCAACGAGGAGCTTCCCTGGTTGTGGAAACTCCTTGGCAACCCCCTCTACTTGTGGGACTCTCTTTAACCTCTGGCACGGGGCGTTTGGAAGCAAAGCTCTTTGTTCACAAGGTTTGGCTGCCCAAATTGAAGGCGACTTGGATAACAACTTTTAACCGAGTACGGAATTTCTCTCTCCTGGTTTTAACTCAGAGAAATACTTCAGAACAAAAAGAGTTTTGGAGATTGATCCTGAAAGGCAACGCTGGCACTTGATATGGTCCCCACCATACTAGAGGCAGTCAGAAACACTAAAAACATTAGAAAGAGCACAGAAAAAAAAAAGAGAAATACACAGAGGATGAGCTTTGGTTTTACCAACCTCAGCGTAGAGGGAGTTCGCTATGTCCATTTTGTTCTGGCGAAAGAAAATGGTGGCCATGTGGAAATACCCTCCGGAGGTCTCGATAGACTTTAGTCCAAATGTAGAACTAGCAAGGTAAATCTGAAATAAATATAAAAAAAAAAAAAAGAAAAGAAAAGCAGAAGTTCAGCGTTCATATCAAACCTGGGAAACTTTTCACTATGGATTAACAACATTGCGAGCATTCCGCTCTTTCCCGCGTGACTACAGTGTTAGTTCCCCCCAGTTATGGCTGTAAAACGTGGGACTAAACCAGCTGTATGGTGGGTTTTCCGCACAGGAACGCAGCACCCCCACACCCCCTCCTCGCTGGAGCAGAAGAACCTCGTGGTGGCGCGGGGCAGGTCCCCCACACCTCCTGCTCCCACCTCGTGCGCCGGCGTTTTCCAGCGCACGACCTGCGCCGCTGTGCAGCTCTCCAGCCCTGCCCGTGGCACCTGTTCGTCCCCCCCGGCGCTCCCGACGCCAGGGGAGCGGGAAGGCAGCGGGGCATTCCAGCTATTCCGAGCTGGCGTGTGACTCTCAGCAGATCTGACACCAGCCAAAGTTCAGGCAGGTCTTGGGCTGCGCTGACGTAGAGCAGCGACGTGCTAACAACAAAAAAAAACTATTACCCGACTGTTACTGGATTCAAGGCACCTAAAAAACCAACGGCACAGCGCGGAATCCCTCCTCAAAAGTTTACAGATGAAGCAAAGAGAGGGTTGTATGAATTATATCAGAAAGGACCTAATTCTCCTCAAGCGTATGTCATCGTTCACGCCCACACGAAGCTACTACCAAATCTGACAGTAGTGGGAATCCATCAGTCCGCACCGGATAAATTTAGTCTACACGGGACATAAATAGGATGTCGCCGAGTCCATCTGCCTTTAGGGGATCAAATGGCGGGCGCAGCATCCTCAGGGACACAAAAAGCTGGCAACAAACCGCTTCCAACCCGACACACTGCTCTGGTGGGGGAAGAGATGGAATGGGGGAAAACGACGTTGAACCAGAGATTTAAATAGTTAATTAGGGCACTCGTTAGATAACGGCTAATGACAGAGAACTGCTGCCTAACAGAAAAGTACGGAGGAAAACGACCACTGAAATGTAAAGTAACTTATCTGTGGAATTTGGGGTGGGAATGTCTGTTCATCTCAGGACTGTAACCAAGCTGACAGGTCTGTTCATAAGCAGATGCGGTACGGACAAGATGCACGTCACTTCAAGGGAATAAGGAAAACTGGGAAATCATGGAATCCTAGAATGGTTTGGGTTGGAAGGGACCTCAAAGACCATCCAGTTCCAACCCCCCTGCCATGGGCAGAGACACCCTCCACTACACCAGGTTGCCCAAAGCCTCATCCAACCTGGCCTGGAACACTGCCAGGGATGGGGCAGCCACAGCTTCTCCGGGCAACACAACTTTGGCCAACGCTTGGACACACACGTGTCTCAGATCTCGACAGTTCAGGTGTTTGTACCGTGTACCCTCTCCGTGCCTAAAATCAGGATTAAAAACCCGCCTGTTGAGGTTTTCACATCGGCCTGGAAGCGTTAGCGAAGGGAGAGAAGGGAAGCGTGTCTGTGTGCGAGCCGGCTTACGTCATGCGCCAGGTGGAGCAGAGCCTGGTCAAAGTTTCCTTCGGCGGCACGGAAAAGCCCCAGAGCACGATGCAATTTGTGCCGAACGGCCACGCCGCAGCCCGGCGTGCTGAGGACGATCCACTGCGCTTGGGACAGATATTTAGACGCCTGCGGAAGATCGCCAGCGCCTGAAACGACACGTAGGAATACGCTGGATAAAGAGCTTTTTTTAAAAATTTTATTTTATTTAAAAAGTTCCACAATATCTCTGCTGTCCCTTTGCAGTAGTTTGCTATGGACACCCAGTTTGTGGATTCCCTGCTCCTCTCCCAAGTGCTCTGAAGTCCAGCAGGTGCTCAGAATCGAATTTACAGACAGGCTGAGCGTCCAGAGCCCCGAGAGACGCCGGAAACTGCGTATCGCGCTCGGCACCTCCGAAACACGTGCTCCGAACGGGTCAGCTACGGGCAGCCGCCAACGCCTCGTGTGTTATCACACCAGAATTACTCAAGGGATTTGGTTTTTTTCCCCCTTCTCTCGCCGCACCGGTTACGCCAATCCTCGAGGCAGCTCGATCCTGCCGGCAGAGCATTGTGTGCGCTCCCGTCACGGCGGCGATTTACGGCGATTTCCTGCTCCTTTACGTCCTCTCGCTCGAGGAGAGGGCTGATTTTCACGGTTTTGATGAAGCGTACAGTCAACGAGACACAGCTCTGCTGCGGGCAGAGCGCGCTCCTGCGAACGAGCTGAGGCATTGCTCCGACGGAACGGCCTCGGAAACGCTCGCTGCTTGCCGGAGATAAGAGCGCAACCACCCACCCGCGGGGATTTAATGCTTCTGAGAGTCAGACGAAGCCACGGAGGGAAAGAACGGATTTTCACATCGCTTCTCTTGTGGGAGTCGGTGGAGAGGGAGAAAATGTTTCACTTGCTCTCATGGATCTCTCAACACCCATGAGTGACTTTTCCCCAGACCCACACTGAAAAGGAGGGGGGTGTGTGACTTCTCAAATCTCCCCGAAATGCCCTTGAGGCAGGGTAGAGACATGGCACAATGTTGAGAGGCAGAGCTGGTCGTTCCCTGATAAATGGTCAAAGGAAACCAGAAACCTGACCCAGGGGAGGGCTTGCCCTTGCCAACGTTGCTATTTAGACAATACCCACCAGCGGAGGCCTCGGCCAAGAGCAGATAAGCCGGCACCAGTTGCGCAGAACTCCAGCCGTACACTTCAGCGCCGAAACGCAGCGCGTGCAGAGCTGCAGGTATTGCTTCTCGGTGCTTTCCCTCCGAGAGAAACTCCCGGGCCGCGCTGGAGGTGACGTGGATGATGTATTCCTGCAGGGAAACAAAGTACCAGGGCAGAGTGAGCAAAGGATAAGGAGGAATAGAAGACACTGTCTCTTTTTACATTTGAGCTTGCGAACGGTGAGGCAGTGATTGCAGCGTTGCTCGTGTCTGTAATTAGCAGATGGAAATTAAAGCTGTCACATCACAGCCTGGCTTTCATTCCTACTTCTAGCAGGAACAGCTCTGGACATCCTCTTGGGTCACGCGGTGCCTTATGAGACGAAGAATCCTTTACGCCTCCGAGACAGGGCTAACCAGGCTGCGGCGGTGGGAGCTGTGAAGCGCAGAAAACGAGGATCACAAGACCCTAGGAATGATTAGACAAAGGGGGGGTTTGCTGACGGTACCAAGGGTGACTCACAGCGGGCAGCGGAGCGTGTGGTTTGCCAGCCGGTGCCAGCATGGCACACATCCAGCCGCGGGAGGCGTGGTCTGGAAGCGAGGAGAGAGCTCCTCGCGCGGTGCAGCAGCTTCCTCCCGCCCGCTCCCGGCCAGTGCTGGGCCTGGTATTTTGGGCACGGGGTCTGGAAAGCCCCTCCAAATCAGAACACCTTAACGCCCTTCTGCGTGTCCATCGCCCGAGCTGGGTCTGGTGGCCGAGCAGCTCCTGCAGCATTTCTGTTTGCTGTCAGAATCCGGAACGTTTCCTGGAGTTGCAGCAAAAAGCAGCTTTTTTATCTCTTTCTCTTTGCTTCTGCGTTGGCTTTTCACACCAGCGCTGCAGCGCGAAAGCTGCCTGGGAAGAAATCTTGCTGCTGGCGTGCCTGGCAGTGCTGCCCTGGTAAGCCAGCGCGGCGCTCGCTCTCCTCTTGCCAGGAGGCACGGGCAGGCCTGTGCAGCGAGCGCCGGCGGAAAATACCGCATCACCTCTCTGGTGCCTTCTGTTTGCCAGCTGCGGAGGGCAGGAAAAATAAATCCCGGGGCTTTTGGAGGCCAGGCTTTGGCGTTTCGCTGAGCTTTACGTGCTTAGAGAGAGGCAGAGGGAGTCGTGCCATGGGTGAAGGAACCTCAAGGACAGGCTGTGAGTGTTTCCTGGAGATCCTGGCATAAAGGGACGTCCTTTCTGGATTAATGAGGGGGTTGAAGAATGCACCCCTGAGTCGCAGCACCCTGCTGCAGCGAGGAGAGCCAAGAGGTCAGCCCCTCGCTAGCCCCTGGGTGAAAAATAGGGAGTGAAAAAGGCACGTGCCAGGACCACGCCACGTTGGGGAGCGCGCGGTACCCAGCAGACAGTCGGCACGTGCTCAGGGCAGGGAGCAATGAAAGCTGTGATTTATCCACGCTGGTCTTTCTCCGTCGCAACCAGCACCGGCTTCGGTGCGTGGGGATGGAGCAGGTTGTCCCTGGGGAGGTGCTGGAGATCAGGATCATGCTTTTTTGCCCTCCTTGTCTGTAGGATCGTGGCTGCTCCCCATGATGTAAGCTACCTTCCAACATCCGCAGGGAGGACGAGACAAGGGTTAGACTCTCACACAGCTCCCAGGAGGAGCAGAAAGGGCAGGAGACAATGGAAGCCCTGCAGCACGGAATGTTTACGACAGCACAGTTACCTGGGGGTCGTTAGCTCTGGCCTCCCGCTGTTTTTCATCTTGCCCGGAGCCCCACGCCCCCGGACCCGCAGGCTCTGGGCTCTTTTCATGTGGGTTGCAATCACTGAGGTTTCTCTGAAGATGCCCCCACGCAGTTTTTCCCCCAGCGGGGGCTGGAGGAGGCTGAGGACCCCAGCTCTGCTCCAGCTGGGAGTGGGGGGGTTGGGAACACACTTGGGGTCCGGTTCCACATACATTTACCCACTCTCAGGGACCAAAAATGGCGGGGGGCTTGAAGAAATGGCGATTTTAAGAGGAAAGGAGGTTTCCAGCCAGTTTGGGTTGAAGCCCACCGTCGGCGGGGCTCGCACGGGCGCCGGAGGACCGGGGCTGGCTGAGGCATGGATCTTTCCCCGTCCCGAGGCGGCGGTGAGCTGCCATCATGCGGGCAGGTGAGGCTGTTCGACAAACAGAAACTTGGAGTTTTGTCAGTCTGGAGGTGCTGTCTGCGGGCGGCCCGCCGGCTATGTTGACAAAAGCAGATTTCTATCACCAAAGCTTCTGCAGGTACGAAACTGTCAACCTCCTGGCTCTTCCCCGAAGCCAAAGGGCATTTTGATGTGCACGAGCTTTCCCGTGTCCTGACTAAGGCTCGAGCTGCGTGTTTCCTAAACAAACACCGCGCAGGAGTTTGTGAAATACAGCCGGAATATTCAAAAAATAACGAACCTATGCGCTGGGTGTGAGCAGAAAGGTTTTTTCCTCTGCTCGTCACGAGACTGCGGAGCTTTGGCCTGGGCTCCGGAGGCCTTTTATAAAGCTTTTTGTTGACCCTGTGAATAGGAATGTGACAAAGCCACCAAGATCCAGAGGAGGCCATGAAGATGATCCGAGGGCTGGAGCACCTCTGCTCTGGAGACAGGCTGAGAGAGTTGGGGCTGTTCAGCCTGGAGAAGAGGAGGCTCCAGGGAGACCTTCCAGCACCTTCCAGTACCTAAAGGGGCTACAAGAAAGCTGGAGAGGGGCTTTGGACAAGGGCGTGGAGTGACAGGACACGGGGCAATGGCTTTAAACTGAAAGAGGGGAGATTTCAATGGGATCTAAGGAAGAAATTCTTCCCTCTGAGGGTGGTGAGGCAGTGGAACAGGTTGCTCAGAGAAGCTGTGGCTGCCCCATCCCTGGCAGTGTTCAAGGCCAGGTTGGATGAGGCTTTGGGCAACCTGGTGTAGTGGAGGGTGTCCCTGCCCATGGCAGGGGGGTTGGAACTGGATGGTCTTTGAGGTCCCTCCCAACCCAAACCGTTCTGTGATTCCATGATTCTAAGATGAGGCACTAAATAATCTCACCCTCTCCACACTGCTGTTCCAACACTTGTCACTCGGCCTAGGCCCAACGTTGTCTCCCCTGTACCTGACTTTTTGTGGGCAAGGAGCTGTGAAAAAGTAGGCAACAAGGCGCTTCCGCTCTTTCACCCCTTTCTTAGGAGAGTAGGCAAAGTGTCCCTGCACATACCGTTCCCAGAATCTATTTTAAGTAGTTTAGAGACAAAGGTCAAAGAAAAAATGTAATGGGGTTGTTAGAGATCCTATAAAACTCTCTATTCCGGAAAAAACCCCGAGCCTGCTCCCTGTGCCTCTTCCCGGCTCGGCTAGAGCTGCAGGTTGGCCGTCGCTGCCTGCTAACTGGGTGTGCGCTGCGACCAGGAGTGACTCTCCCCTCTCCACCAGCCACCTCTTCCTGCTGGCTCCCCTGGAACCCAATAACGCCAAACGACCACTTCCAGCTGATCCCGGAGCGCTTCCTCCGTCTGGTGGGCATGGGGTCTTCTGCAACATGTGTGCTACAAAACCAGCAATGGGATAACAGGTGCTTTCAGCTTCGGTGTCCAACACGAAGTTTCTTGGAAAAGCTTTAAAAAGTTAAGGATGCAGAAGCCCTGCCGCCACTCCCAAGAAGTCAGATTTTAACCCTTTTTCTTTGCAGACTTTCTAACAGATCCGCTGAAACGTAACCTGGAACAAAGGAGCTGTTGCCTTCTTCCCGACACTGCTGGGCCACGCTGTTCTCACACACCTTGTCTGGCCTCGGGCCAACAGTCTTGCCCGTGATTTTCAGATAGGATGGGATTTTCGAATCCAAACTCAGTTGTCCAGTGCCTAATTCCCACAAAGCATAGAGGAATCTGCTGCCTGAAGCCTGTCGCAAGCTTTCACCCTGCTGCACTTTTGTCCACACAGGTCACACCCCTGCTAGACTTTCTCCTTCTGGATGCTTCCATGAAAACCGCAGCGACGAGTCAGCCACCGAAGTGCTCGCACCTGGCCCTGAAACAACCTTAAAACTAATAATCCAGAAGATTAATGACCTTCCCAGTGGCCCCATTTGGTTGTTACCAGCTCACCTGCAGCTGTTCTGTTGTCCTGTTGTTCTGCCCTTAGGAGTTATGCAACAACAGAAGGATAATTTATTTTTACGGCGAGATCATTTTAAGTAGCAGATGTATTTGGGTGGGTTATTTTATTTTATCAACATTGTGGCAAAGCAGATCCTGCCACTCCAGGAACAAACAAACAAACAAAAAAGAGTTGGAAACCACTGGGGCTGGAAAGGAGCTGCACATCTGCACCGCCCACAAGGCCAAAAAGAGGAGATAAAAGGCTGCACTTAGTGGGAAAAGTGTTTGAAATTGGCCTGGGAAACAAAGGGAGGGGATTTTATTTCGCAAGGGGAATCCCTCTCATCAGTGAAGGGTGAAGACACCCTGCAAGAAGCAGAACTCAGCTGGATCCTGAGCTAACGGAGGAGACGGACCAACTCCCTGTCAAGGCAGGAGGTCCAGGATCAGCCCGAGGAAACTCAGGAGATCAGGAGAGGAAGATCAGGAGAGGAAGATCCAGGAGATCAGGAGAAGAAGATCCAGGAGATCAGGAGAGGAAGATCCAGGAGATCAGCCCGAGGAAGCGCTGGACTTCAAGTAAGGACTGTGAAAAAGGCAAGAGGCTCATAGGATGGAAGAGAGGGTGCTCCCGCTGCCCTTATTATAGAGTTTTTGTTAAAAAATCAAAAATCAAAGCTCTGCAACTAAGTACCGATCGCCAGCGAGGTGCCCTCCCACACCAGGTACACAAGCTGTAGGAAGAGGAGGTCCGATTAAACCTCGGCGGCGGCGCTTTGAAGCGGTGTTGGTTTTTCTTGTACGTACCTGCCTCTTCAGCAGCTGCTCCGCGCTGTGCTTCCTCTCTTTTTCAGAAAGGTGAAACGGGAGGGACGTACGGATTGGAATCAGCAGCTGGCAGATTCGCTCGTGGATGCTAACCCAGTCGGCTTTCTGATGATCCACATCGCTAACAAAATACGGGAAGAAGGAGTTTTGGAAATGATGGAAGGGAAGATTACGGCCTGTTGTGTCTTTCACCGTGAGAATTACCCACCACAGCCACCAGCCCTTCGGCTGCTCCCAGAGTACATAACACATACTTGACATTCCCAAAGGGGATGGCAGCGCTGTCTGCCAAGGGACCGTAATTCCACATGTTAAAACTTTGCTTAAATCGCTCACCAAACTCCCGACACAGTGAGGTCTGAGCCAACGCCGGGCTTCCAACATGGTGATCCATGAAAAACCCCCAAAGCCAAACAAACCCCACATCACTGCGAAACCAAGGAAGGGCGCGTGATTTCGCTGAGGATAGGTGAAGATTTTTGTGTAAACACCCAGACGGTTCATCGTGCTGCTCCCCCTTTGATGCGGGCAGTGTTGGAAGTGAGGTGGGATGCTCTGGCTGAGGGATCACTGAGCACATCCGCTCCAGTTCCCGCTCCGCTGCTCCCCCTTTGATGCGGGCAGCGTTGGAAGCGAGGAGGGATGCTCCGGCTGAGGGATCGCTGAGCACACCCGCTCCAGTTCCCGCTATCCTGTGCCCTGTGGCTGTCTCCCCGCTCCATCCCAGGCCTTGTCCCTTCCTCCTAGCTCTCATCCCTGCCTGCTAAGCAGGACAAAACCTTGCCCCTGCCACCCAGGCTTCATCCTAAGCCCTCTCCTTGTGTCCTCGACCTCATCCCATGGCTGGTCCCTCCCTCTTGCCCTGTCCCTGCATCCTGAGCTGCATCCCAGGTTTTGTCCCTGTCTCTCAGCCCTTGCCTGGGGCCTGTCCCTGTGTCCTAGGCCTGTCCCTGCCTCCCGGCCCTTATCCTGACTCTTGTCGCTGTGTCCTGAG